GCTTTCTACGTCCGAAATTCTTTTTTATAGAGCGAAGAACCAAACGTCTCCAGTTTGGTTCTTATGGGATAAAGATAAAGCATTTGCCGTTGATCAATCCCTTTTGGGATGCGGCACGCATTCTACTTCCATTTGTACATTCGTAGTGGCGTTTGAATGCGATGTGGCCTATACAATGACTTGCGGGGGCCAGCCGATGTACAAGTCAGTGTTTTTATCCTCCCAGACAAGTCTGGTACCAATTAACCGACCCCGGAGGGATGGAAGGCTTGGTTGGCCCGGCGACTCACGACCCAGGATTTGATCCCCGGACCGCTCGCGTGGTAAGCGTGCCACTTGCCACTACACCACTTCCGCCCTCTCATGAGGTGTGATACAAAAAAAATTAAAAATCCAAATGACGTTTTCCCTAATAAGTGTTTAAACTGCTGCGAATGTTCAATTCTTCGGCGTCGCCCCGTTGTCCCCGTTTTTTTGTGCACACGTGAGTTTTCAAATCCAACGCTCATAAAAGATAAAGGATAAAGCATTTGCCGTTGATCAATCCCTTTTTGGGATGCGGCACGCATTCTACTTCCATTTGTACATTCGTAGTGGCATTTGAATGCGAAATTGGCCTATACTGAGACCGACTATTGACACCCTTCCACCAATTAAATCCCATCAGAGCCGCCTTGTAGCCGTCAGCCGTGGTCGTATAGTCGATCAAAATTTGACCCTAGGGCAGTTTAAAACGCAAATAGGTTAACCCGGCGCAAATACGCCCAGCGTCTATGCCACCTGCGCTGCCTCAAAACTGTAGCGGGGACACGACAGGAGGCTCGTCTTGCGACGGGAAGGTAGAGAGTCAGAGAATCAGCAGACGGCGTCAATCGTGAACGTGCAATGTCGACGTTACTTCCGTCCGTATCTGTATATTCTATCAATAACGGACACATTGACATTCTACATATTAGTATTTGACATATCCTACATTCTATCAGACTTGACACTGAACTGCTTGCTATAGCATGCGCTGCGACTCGTCCGCTGTCCCGTCTGCGTCTGTGCCTTCTCTCACACGCGACGGGCCTCCTGTTCGGTCTGCGGCAGTATGCAAAATGACATTCCTTCGCCGAATGCGGTTGCGACATTGCACACAAAACGATAAATTTGTTCGCGAAGTAATCAAGAATTCTTCAACCACATGTTTAGCGCAATTGGGGACCCTTAATTGTTTGCGAAGGACACTACGCTTCTGCATGCGAAAGGTAGTCGAATATGGTAGTGGTGATAGGTGAGGAGATCAAAGTACACTCAGGTCAATGCTGGAACCTCGTTTAAACTTTTCGAAAAAAGGGGAAGTGAGGAGTAAAATAGTGTCAAAAAGAGAAAAAAGTCAAATATGCATCAGAAGTGTACGAGAGACTTCGTAAGGTTACTGTACTCACCTTGAGCTTGACCGGGTGCTAAGAACATGTTGTAACCATCCTTCACCACTCCATTGCCGATCACCTTCAAAAGGCGATCCCCAGGTTCCGTCCTTAGAAATATTATGATAAAAAAGCAAAGAACGAGCAAAGTCGAAAATCTCCTCTCAGAAGTCACATACCCAAGTCAAGTAGCATTTGGCTCCTGCTGAATATGAAAGCAATGTTCGCAAAACAAGGTGTGGGAAGTTGTCAGCGGTTAGGTGGTGTGGTGCGAGGGCGCCACTTCCCACGGCATGTCCGGGCAAATCTCAGATCTAAACGCGCCAAAGCCAAACACAACTTCGGATACAGTGAGTAGGAGCCAATTTTGTCTGGGAGGTACGAAAGGTATTTAAAGGTAGTGAGTACAACAATTTTGTGTGGTTAAGAATTTAGGTGAGTATGTTCTCCTTGTCCGCCAGTGGCAGAAAAATGTGGAATAATCTATCAAATTCTCCTAAGTTGAGGACCTTTTCTTGTTGGTCGGTTTTGGACGAGTTCGTTTGTTTCGTTTGGGTGGGTTACCCTGGAAGGGTTGCAGATAACTGATAAAAACGCAGTTTCGCAACGATACACCATAAAAAGACTGATCCACACAACTAGCCGTTGCTCTAATACGATTAGGATTTTCACCAATTGCCTTCTTGCCCTTTTCTATACGTATTGGAAGCGAAGCTTTAAAAGGGATCAGATAATTGGAAAATTCATTAATAGCATCAGGTACTCTGGATGAAAGGCATCGTTTAGCGGCCGATCGCAGAAGGCCTACTACTGATTTTCGTAAAAGCAAACAGTTTAACAGCAAACGCACCATATCAGCTCGCCAGTTTGTCCTCCGGAGTTCGATTTCTCGCACAAATCATGCACCTTGTAATTTGGGTCATACCAAAGTGTCTTGAAAACATTATCGTCCTCGCTGAAATTTCCATAAGCAGTAACTTAACAGACAGTGCGCGATTGCACAGGAGCAATACTGGTTTTCAACATTTCAACAGGTTAGGGAACAAGCAAAGACAAGACAGTGGCGTGGGTTCTGCAAATCTATCTTTTAGTCATTTTGATTCCTAAGAAATCCAACAGAAATTGAAGTTCCACCAACCCATCTTCCAATTGCTCTCTGGCGGACGCCATAAAGTTATTTGTGAATTTCTGCAGTGGTTCGTCCACCTCTCCCTTGTCGATTGGCTTTGGCTGTAATCGTACGAATGAATGTGCACTTGAGCAGTGAACTCTAGTCTTTGATATTGATTATTTCACAACGATTCCTAATACTTATAAAAGTTTTAGTGAAAATAAGAAGG